GCGTCAGCTCAACTCATATCATTGTGGGAAAATTCTACTATCAGTCCTTCATCACCTTACACGAAATAGGGTAAATACATCTCATACTACTCACTCTATTTGGTTTAATATGATAATAGACTGCTAGTTGAATTTTCTCACAACCTTATAAGTAGACCTCGTGTCCTCATTCAATTTCCCATAGCCTTGCTTCTATGAAGGTATTCTCATCCTTTCTTGCGCCTTTTCGTGTAGATTCTCGTCATAGGAGGCGTAGAGTCACGGTTATATGAGTTGTGTTCACACTATTTCATTAAAGTGATGAAGGACTGGTGGTTGATTTTTCCCACAATCATATACTGATTTCGCATAGCCTTGTTTTCCCAGAAGGTGCTCTCATCCACATTGTCACGAGTGCCCTTGGATCACAGGGTAGATGTGAATTTTAAGGAATGTCAGACATTTTCCATATCACATTCTGTGTTGGGATTGTCGATAAGGCAAAATTATATTTGCTATACCAATCGACGACATGACTACTACTGCCTACTCACTCACGAATTAAGATTCACAGTTCAATTTCGTGAGTTGACCCATCAGGCTTATGCCTCAATCTGAGTGGAAACTTTCTTTTATGATGTTTGTTTAAACAGGAAGTCTCTTCACTTGCTCTCAACATTCTCAATTAGCATGACTGGTCACACAATATGCAAAAGTAGACAACTTTCACTAATGCTTTGGAGATCATTTCTAATCTGTACTGTGAGCTAGCTCGTAAGCATTGCATGTAAGCTCTTCTTGCGTTCGGTTAGGGTGTTTATCAAAAATTCCTTTGTAATCGAAAATAAGATAAATGTGGTCTCCTGTCCTTCTGTACCAGTAGTTTGACGTTTTTATTCCAAGTTATTGATGTTATCCGGGCAACCTAGTAGTCATGCCTACATTACTTCCAGTATCAACGCCCTGATCAACTGTCTGTTCAACAGCCCTGGAACGATCATTAATTCCATATTTGTTGATATCATGAGGAATATGTGCAGATGAAAGTTGGTCAAGGTTTGCAATTCAATTATCTCTTTGCCGATTTCCAGTTTGGGGCTAAGATTGCCTAAATTGACTGAAGATGCCGGTGAAATGTGTGAATTCTGAGGCGGGAAAATATCATGTCTACAATGCCAGTGGAAGCCAGAAGAGATGGGTTCGTCTAGGTTCCGATAACGAGGTTGCACTACTTATCATTCTTTGTCAGCTTAACAAAAACGTCTATGCTATGGAGTATTTCATTTAATGCAAAATCTAATCAGAAAATGACGTTGATCTGAGGCCAATAGATTTTACTTCGACGTGCAGTATGAAGCTGTGCAAACCTTGTTCCAATCAACAGACTTGGTGGGAGTATGATTTTATTCTTTGGAAAATGTAACGATAAAATTAGGAACAAAATTAACTCTCGCTGCCTTGGAGATAAGAAGAGATACATCGTTTAGATAATTAAGAAGAAAATGTTGATGGGACAATTAATAATAGCAATGGGAAAATCAATAGCAATTGCAAACGTATTACAAATGACAGAAGCAATACCGTCAGTAGTAGCATAAGAAATAGGAAAAGCAGCAATAGCAAGGCAATATCAATAAAGGTACATATAACAATAGAGAGTGAATCATTTATACAATAATGAATAGCAGTATTAATAGCAGTAGCAATATAAATTTCGATATCTGTAGCAATCTCAGTATCAATATAAACATCAGGATTAATATTATTATCAATATCAACATTAGTGCAACTATCAAAAGCACTTTTATTTTTAGTATCAATAGCCCTATCAACATCATTTTCAATATCATTAGTAATATATTTATCAATCTCATTATCAATTTCTATAGTTGCATAGCTAGCAGTGCCAATGGCATTTTCCACCTACAACAATACCCCTTTTTATCATCAATCTCAAATCACATTTCAATTCCAAATCAATCACTAGTATTAATACAAGCACGAATGTCTATATTGACATAAATGTTAATCCATTTTCTAATTATCCCTCGTTTAGGTAGTAGTCAGTTTTGAGTAGGAAACAAATTTCATTCTTCTTGCTAAGCCGCAGTGAGAATATTGCAGGAGTTGCAGTCTCGACCGGATAGGTGTCGCCTGGATGGCTGTAGATGAGGTGACGAGATTGGCAGGCGCGCTGAGAAGATGCGGCCAAGACTGACCTATTGCATAGCCGTCGGCTCATCTCTCATCCGACTGCTCACAACCGCTTCTCGCTGCCATTGGCCAGCTGGCGAGACCTTCGCCGCCTCATCTCCGCCCTCGACTCACCTCGCCCTGCCAACGGCACACAGTCGCAAATCGCTCACTGGCGTGACTCGTTCGCTGACTCGGTCACAGGCCCGCAAGCACACACGCCACCACACCAACGCGACTCCGTCAGCTCATGCTGGCAGACAGACAGGCAGACGTCGCAACCTCACAACCGTGCAACCGTGCAACCGTGCAACCGTGCGACCTGTCAACAACTCAACCACGCAACTCGCCGCCATGATTAAATGTCTCGTTAATTCATACGTCAGGCCCACATTCCGCGCTGAGGCACCACTCCCAAACGGCCGGGCACTAGAGCGAGCATATAGGCCAATCGAGTGAGAGAGAGAGAGAGAGAGAG